AATATCGAAAAATATCGAAATATATCCTAAAAGGCGTAAAAATTCCAGTATATCCTCAAGTCAGTTGTTTCTTCCAACTTCGCGCGTGCACACCAAATACCAGAAAGTTTTCTTTGGGTTACTGCTGATTACCATGAGTACAATTTTAAGTCACTATAATTTTTCAAAAAACCCATGAATTGATTTAAAATTTTGCAGGTAACTTTTTAATCTTAATAGGAATCTATAATAACAAATTCAGTATGCTAGCATTGTTTAAGTATACATATAGCCTATACATCCTTAAAACGCGTGTGCGTGCAGTTCGAAGAGTAGGAAAAATAGGCGATCGTTCCGTTCATCGAAAACGTATCTCATGATTTGTTAGCTCGTATTTAGGAGAGAAAAAAGGAATCGTATACACTGAATAAATGTATGACCACTTATCTCGATTGCCGGAACACCGCCGCGGTGCGCCGTCAACCGTTCCCTCACGTATAATTCCAGTACGTGTACTTTCTACCGGCGAGCGTGTGTGGACGCGTGTCTCGTGAATTAAACATGTTTCGACACCGTGATAAAGGAAAAACCCCGCCGCGGAGTCGGAGAGCACTACCGCGGTGATCGAGAGGGTCGAGTCAAACGGGTGGAAAATCCGAGCGACCCTTCGTCCGAAAATTTTTCTCTCTCTCGATCCCGGCTCGACCCACGTAATTCGCCGCCGAGATGGATGGGGCTATAAAAATGAAATTCTGCTACTCACCGACGGTCGTCAACAGCATATTGTCCAAGAGCAGAGCAATGGCCACGATCACCAGAACCAATCTTCGCGATTCCCGACATCGTTGCAACCAACCGCTCCATTCTCCGCCGCTCATGCTTTCGGCTCCGCGATTCGCACCTCTTCTGTCGTCGATCGATCTGCAACGTCGATAGGATCAGAGAAGTTCGCGATGGACGGTCAGCGTTTTGTCCGCGAGAGAATTCCTCGGTCGGGTCCGACGGTCCGGCGTTCAAAGGAAGAATCGCGCGAAAGTAAAAGAGGAAAGCCGGTCGAGTAAACTAATTAGTGGATCGAAGGTACTGTGTGCGGAATCGACGGCGACGTTCTTCCTTTCAAGAACGTTTATTCGTCCCATTCCGTCGTTCGGCATTTTCTCTCCTTTCCCGAGATTCACCTCTGGTCGATCCACGCATTTGGCGAAATGAATTTCCCGTTGCTCGAAAATGGGAGACGAAGCTGTCCCTCGGAGAAGAACGTTCTTTGACTCGCGGTTCGGGCTTCCGGTACTTCAGCCAGCCACTTTTAGCCGAACGATTTTCTCGCTTGTGCATCGTTGGAAAAAGAACGCGACGCGAAAATTGCGCGACCGCGAGTGAACTCGCTGACGTTAAATGAATCGAAAAGATCAAATATAACGGGACGAGTTTACGGAAGTACTTCTAGTTTTCGGGTGGCGGTTCTTGGAAACGAGATCATCGATCGTATTTCGGATGATTCGATGGTGTCGCGTCGGCGTATAGAATTAACGGCGCTAATTGCTCGCTTTTAACGGTACCTACCATGGACCGTCGCGCGCGACCATTCCACAGGCGATGCCCTCACCGCGCTCCTCTTTTATTCGTAATAACTCGATTACCCGATGCTTTTAGCTCGGCTAATTTTCGCACGCTCCCCGTGAATAGGAAACCATTAAGGTCGTCTAAAGCGGTGCCCGAGAACGACAACGACAACGATCTCCGCTATCCACCGTCGTCATCGCGTCGCTTTCCAGCTCGTCGCCTGATTAAAAGGCGCTCTCCTTGATTTTTACGAAACGCACAAAGGAGAACCCGCGAGCAATCTGCGCGGTCTCCTCGTCGCACCGTAGTCGATAGCCGAGACAGAGGCAAAGTGAGCGAGGGCAAGGGAGAAGCATTTTATCCGAGGCAGAACAGGCTCGCGAGGGTCGGTTGCTCGCGCCGAGATAAGAAGGCCACCCCGTGCTTCTTGTCCGCTTATTTTACCGTACACCGTGAGCACACACCTCTCCATCAACCCCTGTCCGTTGGCTCTGGGCCGTCTTCAGGCTCCCGATTCAACAATTCTATTCCACGATTTCCCGTGCGAACGGCCATTCGTACGCCCGGAGGCTACAATAGCGATCTGTTCAATGTTAACGAATAACTTGTATCTTAATCGTACGTTTCGCTGTACGAATAGATATGCGGGTCAGCCGTTAGGAACGAACAAGGAGACTGATAAGATCGCGACACGTGGGTAGAACGGCAAAGGAACAGGAGATAAAGGTAGAGAAACAGAAGGAGCGAGGAGGATAGAAGAGAATCGGCAAGGGCGAAAAGAAATCGTGGAGAGCCGAAGGGGATCGACGAAGCTGGGTAGGAGGGAAGCAATCAGCATTTTGCTGAAAGCCAGGTCCCCTGGGTGCGTGCATTATTCTCGGAAAGGACCGAAGAAGATTTTTCTCTTGCCACTGGTGGCTTCCCATACTTTGCTTTCCCTTCTTTTACTCGTGTTTCATTCTCTTATCTGTTCGGTAATTACAGCGAAGAATGACCGGCCGGCTGGAGCCGTATTTACCGGCTTTCGTTCCGTCTATTCAATTTTCCCTCGTACGTCTCGTTCGCGAGTCTCCTTCTTCGCCGATCGGAGGATCGGTTTCGTCTCGACGCGAGAGAAAGTCGGAGGAAAGAATGAGTGAGACCGGGGACTGATCAGCGTTCGAAGCAATCGTAGACCGTACTTTTTTCCTTCTCCCAAGGGTCGAGCAGGTTACGTACGGTTAATTGATCTCGCGGTAGAAACGAAATTTTCATGTTCACGCGGTTAACGCGTATTGGAAGCTCGACGCGGCGCGCCTGGAATCGATGCCTCGAGTGCGCCGCGGCGTTATCGACGAGAATCTAGATGCTGTCGAAAGGGTTTGACACGGTAGTGGTTTTGCGATTGACAGTTTAGTTGGCTCCGCGTTGATGAAGTGACTGCGGAACCAGCAACTCATCCGACCTCGTTATCCCGATTCGATGGACGCGTACGCGTTTCCACTCTTCTACTCCACCACCTCCTCCCTCGTCTTTCCAACGTCTCTCTTCGTCGTTCGCCCGTGCTCGTTCACGCCCCCGCTTCGACCCCCCGACCACTGCCCCCCTTCTTCGCGCGCCTCGTTTTTCGCTCTGACCCGCGCGCGATTATATTCCGTGCCCGAGTGGGTATATCGCGAGAAAGTCGGGCTAATAGAAAAATCGTGTCGAGCGTCAACCCGCTCGATTTATCTTACGTTCGTGACGCTCTCTTTTCTCTCCCTCTCTCGTTATCAGTTACCACTGACCGGTTCTTCGACCACGGTTCCATTTGACGAACGTTCATCTGAGATTTTTTTGATCGATCGAATGAAACAGAGTCGAGTACGAGTCTCGTCGGATCTCTGCCAGCGAAATCTTTAGCCGTGCGACCCTTCCGACTCGCCTTCAGTTAGTTAGTTTCCACTTTGAGAAGCAATTAGTACAGCTGCCAGACCGAACAACCGGAATACACGCGTACACGTAGTACGGTTCCGTCGAATGAATAACTCGGAGATCGTATCTTCGGGAGAAGTTTCCAACGCGGCTGATAGTTAACAAAGAGGCGTTCTCCCGCTCGCGGATCGACGCGATTTCTCCGACGCTAACTAGATCTCGTCCGCGACAATTACCCGCCTCTTCTCGACCCTTTGGGGACGAAGTTTACGGAGGGCCGCGTTCGCCCAGGCTTCGACCCACGCGAACAGCCTGTGATAGTACCGGCGAATCGTTTGACGAAAAATCGAGCGAATCACGCCTGAGAATCGGAAAGGGTGACGCGTTTAAAAGGCAAACTGTTGCTTCGCGCTTCAACAAGTTGGCCGACCGAGCGAACCCCGGCGACGTGAGGAAACGCTCCGAAGTCACCATTTTCATTTCCCATTAGCACCGACGGGTAATATTACTCCGAGATTTTGGTAAAGAACTTTATTTGTCGAAAGAAAGACCGAAGGGTTCCCTGGAGATTTTCTTAGGTAGAAAGAATCTGATTTATGACGCTCTCGGCACGCCGCGGCACTTCAAAACGCCACAACTAGTCGTCACGTTTTCCGCATCTTTCTCTCGCCTTACCGTAAATCGTTACTTTCCATCTGGTTTTACGTCGCGACGATTGTTCCTAAAAGTCTCCACCGACCGCCTGGGTTACACGTGTGCAAAAGCTACCACTTTGTTCTGTCCCACGACACTTCTGTAGAACGTTGTAACTGTTGCTAGTCGAGGCGAGCATCGTTATCCTACGTAATTTATGTATATCGTAAACGTTTACGAGGGACATAAGATGAGCGCGGGGTGGCGTAACTACAGGGGAGGCGAGACAATCGTCGAGCCTGACTAATGAGCTTATAACGATATCAGCAATAATAAACGTCTGGACGATGTACAATGTGCGTACATACGTACGTACGCATGATACGCGTGTAGAGTCGATCGTCTCGCGATGAATTCTGGTCAATGACCACCGGGGAACGTGGCGAGGGATCTAGCAAGATGCAAGAGCACGAAGAACGAGACTCGATGATCCATCCGTGATACGGAATCATAATTTTCTATACGAAGTCTCCGACGAGGGCGATACAAAACGGGAATTGTACGCGATTGCCGTGAAAAGAGTCGGATTGACGATGCGAGAAGTCGAAGCGAGATCACAGTCTCGTTTTAAACAAATCTACGAGATTTACGACGTCGCCAACCCCCCCTTTAACGTCGTACGAACGAGACCGTTTCGTTTTATTTCGAAGCCGATGCGAACGAGAAATTGTTGCACGCGTGTCAGGAAGGGGTGGAATCGAGCCGAATGATGCGAGGGCGAACAGGGGTGGGGAAAGGTGAAAGAAAAAGGAGAGAAAGGACGAGACAGTGTTTGAAGGAGAAGCTGGCTTCTCGGTTACCGGGTCTGGCGATCGGGTAATCGCATTATACCTGGTAATTACGAGACCGCCCGGGCAAAGTACCAAGCAGGGTTATGCAGATTGCTTTATAACCTTGTTACCGATCGCTCTATTAACCTCGCGAGCTTGATACCGGGAGTCGTTTTTCTTCAGAATCGTTACCCCGGCATCGGACGCGGTACTGTCTACGACGTTCCCTTCGCACGACGATCACCTGAGAACAGGTGACGATGAAAAGCCCGGCGCGGTCACGATCTTCGGTATTCACTCGTCTCGTCAAATAATAAAAATAAGTTTTTATACGGCTGAGATGGACGCACAGCTTTGGAATGACTCGATGAAGGCAGAAACGACCAACGACGCGGTCTTGGCGTTCTCTATTGGACAACGTATGGTCAGACCTGCAAACGACACGCGGAAATGAATGCGAATTCGAGCCGGCTGAGCCCTCGAGCAGAACGAGACAAACGGAAATTCAACGACGACGGTTCTTTGACGCGCGCTCCCCTCTCTTCATCTAGTTCTGTCGTTGTTAAGAAAATAAGAACGTCTCTTCATGGAAATAGTAGGAAGCAGTCGCTAAAGAGACAACGGTTGATCAACGGTAGACCGTCGGAATACGATCGAATCGTAAAATTACGTTTGCTCGTCTCCTTTTACGATAGCTGTTCGGTTCCCGACCGGAGTCACCGTCGTTCGACACCGTTCGTCCGACGAAATAAATTCATCACTCGGGATAACGAACGAGAACAGATATTCCGTCGATCGTTCGATCGGAGATGTCGATATCAATCGCGTCGTTAATAAAATCATAATAGTACGGATTATCGATAGCAGCGGTGGTACAAAACGAGAACGCGATAGGTGTGTAAAATCGTCTTACCTATTCGATCGGAGTCAGAAGCAAATCGGTGGACGACGATCGTTCGGTCGAAGGGAGTAACGATGGTCGGTCGGAATCGATGGATCTCTGGCGAACGAAACGGATGGCGACGAGGAGCCGTGCTTCCAGGTGGAAGCGCCGCGGCCGATTGAGTGCGAGGATGGCGGCGAGGGTGCATCTCACCCCGATTTTTCCGGCTCGGGCTCGGGGCTCGGTCGCACTCTCTGCCCCATCGTCGTCCGCGTACGCGCTCGCATCCGTGTCCACGTTCTCGTCTTCACCCGCGTCGCCTCTCTTCTCGATCCTCGAAGATCCAGGGTCCCGTCGTGAACCGACTCGAGAGCGCATGGTCCATCGCGCCTCCGGAAGCCCCCACTATCAACGCAAAGGCTCCCGCCCCCAACGTTACACGGTTCTCGTCACCCCGTTCCACGCGTTTCCGCGTAGACCCTGCCCCGACCCGAACCCCCAACCCCCATCGTTCGTCCCTCGCTCCGACTTCGAATTATCCTCCCATGCTCTTCCTCTTCCTTTCCACCCATACGCGTATGCTCGTCGCACGCGACGATCCAAGCGCGATTCGGAACATCTACTTAAAAGATACTCCGAACGGTCGATTCGTCCCCTTTCTCTTTCGTTCGTGGCGCGATCCCCGAGAAACGGTGCAAAATAGAAAGTACGGTCGGCCCGATGGCGGGTCGTTTGACAAAATAAATGAGAAGAACGTGGAACGTTATTGCGATTAAGATGCGAGGGACGACGGAGGAACGAGTATATGGGCGGCCGACGAAGGGAATGCGGGCCGAGGTCGGCCAAAGGAACGCGAGGCCTTCGAAGAATTTTCGATTGGAGAACGCGCGGAGGCGTCGAGTGTCGCTTTATTAAACCGGCTTTCATCGCGTTCCAGAAGCCGAGGGAGCAGTCCCTTTTCCCATCCGTTAACCACCGAATCGCGTTCGATCGAGGAACGCCGGCGTCCGTGGGCGATGTGCATCGGAGAAAAATTCGCGGCCGGCCGCACGGACAGCGTCGATTGAACCGTGAGAAGCGTTCGCGGCTTCCCACCTGTGGAGCCGAACGGGAAAGCGATATAGGAATTCCAAGCAGGAGAGCCGGCTCACTTGTTGATTTTAGGAAGCTCCAGGGAAAACTGGCTGCAACTTGTTGCTAAACAAGCCTGCGTTCTCTGTCCGCGAGCTTGGTTCGACGTCGGGCAAAGGCATTCTCGTCGCGTTCACCGAGCTCCGATGGGAGGCCTGTCGGCGACAGCCGTTCCTCTCCATCTCGCCGTACCCTGTCCCCGTCTCCTGTATAATTAACTCCGGAAGGAGCGAATCGCGACGCCGGCACAGATTGCCTCGCATCGTTGCCCACTTAACGGCTCGTTCTCGCTCGCATCCCGATCACGGCTCCCTGCGCTCGTCTAATTTCTTTGACGCTCGATGCACGTGTTCGTAAACAACGCAAACGTCCGTAAACGTTTCCCCGTCAGCCTCGCGTGCATCTGTCCATTGCAGAACGAGACGTTTGCGAATGTAAAAAATGTACCGACTTACCAACGACGATGGTTGAGTACGACACAATAGGCAGAAGAGAAGCTTACGACGAACGTCACCGGATTACAGAAGAATTCACTTAACCGGTAATGGACCAAGGAGCATTTTCTCTCCTCGCCCTTTCCTCTGTACCAGCTACCGAAACTCGCGAAACGACTCGACGCGTCGCGTCGCGACGCATCGACCTTCCCGGGGCTAACGATTCTTCTTCCGTGGCCGAAACGATCGTCGTCCGTCGACGGGGAAAAGAGAACGGCGAACGGAAAGACGTGATCGTCGATGAGGGAGGTTAATAAGGATTCTCGTTCCAGACTATCTCGACGAAAGGATACGTGGTTTTCTTTCTTTCGGCCAATACTCCGCAGACTGCGACGCAAGATACAATTTCATATCAACGCCCGGTGGCGATCCATCTGTTCGTTTGGAGAGGATCGTAGCTGGCAAATTTAAGGAAGGTCGATCCATCGCGTGAATCACCGCGATCGTAATTCGTTTTCAACGTTTTAACGACGCGACGCTCAAACGACCAATTACATCGAAACCCTTTTTCCCTTCTCTGCTTCGTATTCTTCGCACGAGTCAACTTTGCGACGCGACGATTGTCGGCACCCTCTCTCCTCGCATTCCCCTGCCCCGTTACCCTCCCTTCGTCGGGTAATGAAATTTTAAGATCATTCAAACTTCGTCTATCTTTTATTCGCTTAAAATACGTTTTCTCTCATACAATCGTTGGTAGTCGTCAGTCTATGTTTCGAACCATCGTGAAGAATGATGCGGCGGTGGATATCATCTGAAAATAGAAAAGCGAACGTGTCGAAACGGTTGACCCATTTGCATCGCTGCTACGAGAAACGTTTCGTTTAAGAATGCAAATGGGTCGAGAAAGAGAATCGAAATAGGTACAGAGGCAAAGGTCTCCAGCGATAATCCTACGAATTTCCCGGCTGTCAGGCGAACCGGTCTCTGTCCCCTGATCATGAGGATGCACGTCGGTCTCAACAATTGGCCAGGGTATCGATACCAAGGCGTAGAGTAGGCTGCGCGACCGATAGCTTCGCTCTGAAACATGACTTCTATTTACGTACTCCGCTGTGCAGCGTTCCGACGTCTCTTCGTTTCCGATTCCTCGTCGTAGGCTTACTTTCGCGAGCAGAACGTCGGGTGGCCAGTTGCAGAGGAAAAGCTGTATAACGCTGATCGCGAGTTGTGTGACGTACTTAAACTTGTCCGGATTGTCCTGTTCGCATATGCTACGTTACCGAGGATATCGTTGAGCGTATTACGTGTTGTCGCGGCTCCTACCTCGACCAATTTAAATCCGACGAGAGAGATGTTGTACGTGCTGCCGAACAGTTGCGTGAAAAACATCACGTTCGTTATACGCTCGATGTCCTCGCAAAGACTGTTGAATCGAAAACCAGATGAATCTACAAACACCGAGCCTCTCGATAAATCTTGGATAAATCGCACTCACTCGAGCAGCGTCCCATGACGTATTAAGCAAGCCCGTAGATCTTTTTTCACTCGCGATCCGGACTCTCTCGACGAGGATCCTTCGATCTCGTGCAAATTTTCGATCCTGGATCGAACCGTGTCCAGGTAGCCGCACGCGACGAGGATCACCAGAGGTCCGAACATGTCTACGCCCACGCAAACCATACCGACGTTGAAAATTGTGAGCACCTGAACAGCGCACATGATCTCGTACCAAGGCGTCTCCTCGACGTCGAGGAAGAACGCGTACGGCAATTGTCGCTGATAACGCGACGTTTCGTTCACGTTTCCCGAGGGAGGTTCGTCGAATATGAAACGACCGAACAAGGCGAAAAAAACGTAAAAGAATATCGTGAATACGCAGATGATCATGTACCAGCGCGTGAGAACCCTCGACTTGTCGCTGTAACTTCGAACGATCTCTCTTTCTCGCAGTTTCAGACCGAGCCAGAACGTCTCATAGGCGTCTAGCATCTTTCTACAGCTGCCGCGAAACCACAGCAGGATCCCGAAGCGCGCTTGACCGCCGACGATCGAGATGATCATCGCGAACAATTCGAGGAGCGTCTCCGGATCGTCGCCGTTAGTCGCAAACTCGTAAGTGTACGAAACGGTGTACAGCGAGAGGCAGGCGAACGCGATACAAGCCAAAACGTTGTTGCTCATGAATCCTGTTCCCTTCCCCAGCGGTATCACGCCGCACAGTTTCAGCAGGGCCACGTTCAGACCTACCATTCTACCGAATTCGCGTTCCTCCTCGTCGCCGGTCATGTCTCAACTTTGTTTCGAAATTTTTTTCCTCCTCGGCGAACTTATGCGTGCCTTTTACTTTCTTGGTTTTCAACCGAGGCAACGCGAAACGTGAGAATCTGGTCAGCCTGTTCGCAAACTCTCGGACAAACGATAATAATGGGAACGGAGACGGGAGCGGGAGGCGTTCGCCTCGGACACCTGTCATTATCGACGAGAGACCAGAGTCAAAGTTTCCCGACGACGGACAATCGTAAAAACACGTATCGTGACACGCGAGATCGCGTGAACGCATCGGGTGACGATTTCGTTACCATCGGAAAATTCGAGCCGACGGGATTTGCGGATAGGCAAAATAGACGTACGCGGTTTGCATCTGCCGATGTTATTTCTGATAATGATTAATGGTCGATACGATAATTGATGTGGAAATCGATACGTTCCACGCAATTGTTCATGTACGAATCGGTACGATGTGTGTCATTTAATGATTGACACTAGAGAAGGTACGATTCGAACGACAGAAATACGAGAGTATCGTATAAATAGGATTCTCGTGTGAAAAGACTCGACGAAGATGAGAGTCGTACCCTCTGGTGGACGCATTTCGAGAAACGGACGTTCTATTTTCCGGGGGAGGCGTCGCGACGCCACCAGCAGGAACGACGTTTCCGACCAAGGCTCATACATAGGGGTGCGCTTATCGACGAAGGCGTAGGCGGACGAGGGTAGCTCCGTTCTCGACGAGGGATGGCAGGAGCTGAAGAATCGATCCACCTAGGGGGTGGAAATCACGACCCTCCGCGCGGGTGGGGTTGCGCGCACTTTCGGGAAACCGCTGCGATCGCAGTTTCGAGGCGAAAGTCGCGCGAACGAGGAAGAGGGAAACCGTGGAAGGAAGTAGAAACGAGAACCAGCGAATTCCGCGGCGGATCATCGCGATGATTCGCCGCTGCTGCTTCTGCCGGCACGCATATCTCGCGATCGAGCCCGACACGCTTGCGTGCACGTGATCGGTAAGCGAGACGCTACCAGGCCGACCTTTCCGACGACTCGCTTCCGGAGACGGTGGACCTACGTGAGTAAAACGAGAAAAACGAGCCACGGCTGAAAGGTGGCAACGCTTTCTTTCCAAGTGAGACTACTTATGGCTGTCGACCTCGAAAACTGCCGAGCCGAGCTTTCGTCCCGGACCTACCGTTCCCCGTTCCGATCGATATCCTACCAACCCCGTCGTCTCTCTCACTCTCTCTCTCTCTCTCTCTCTCTTAGTTGCACTGTGCTCCCCTCGACACCCCCTTGACTCTCGCTCTCCCCCTCCTCTCTGATTTCATTTTCTCACGTGTACCCGAGTACGTACTCGACGGTTCTCTTTATTTTTCCACGAGGTCTCAATTTATTCGACGCGGCGTTTCCGTTCCGACAAATCTTTACGAGCTGCTCGTTCTCTCGATAAGAAAACAGGAAGAATGAATCGCGGACCGAGAAACCGCAAGACGGTGCGCCGCGAGAAACAGAATTTTCCAGTTTACCTTGAAACTGACGCGTGACCGACTCGCGAGTGCAACCGCGTTTTGCATTTGCGCGTCAAGCGAATTAGCCGTCATACGAAACGTAACGCTCCGCACGAGCGAGTTTGTTAGCGACCCGTAGCCTGCGTTCGCGACTCTCGCGTGTCCGCTGCGGACAGTTATCGTTATTATCGTGGTTATCGCGTACTAGTTTTCCGATGATTCAACGAACGAGCGGTACCGAGAGTGAAATATTCGAGTGACGAGCGTCGACCGTTTCCCTGGATCCGAAGCGACAGGGAGACGGTGGCCGATGGCAGGCAACGGGGAACGAAGACGACAAAAAGGTACTCGAGAGCGGAACCAAATCGGGCGAAGACAAAGACGCCGTCGAAGGGCGTTTTATCGCTGCTCGCGCGGTTCTTCGCTTCGAGTAGCTTCCCTCCCGAAGCCTCCCTCCGCTCGTTCGTAAGAAGAGGACACCGCGGTTGACTCGGCTCACGGATATCCGCATTGTTTCGCGTCGACCAGCCAACTCAGCTGACCTACATCGAGCAGTCACCGGGCAAACTGGGATATCGAGCCACTCGAAGCTCGTCTACGGAATACCCCTCGAGACCTTGCCGACGACGCCGATCCCTCGCGGCTTGGCCCAACGATCGCGATAACCGACCACTCGATGCTCGTCCTCCTCCGAGATCTCGTATCGTTCGTTTCGTCACTCGCGTCTCACAGGCGATACGGCACGGTGGTGGCCGCTACCAATTTGGCCGCGCGGCTCGTATGCATCGACCTCGTGAACTTGGCTCTCTTTCCGTGTCAGGATCCAGATCCACGCGCTTCTTCCCGTTCGATTGCCCCTTGTTCGCCGAGCGATCGCGACACGCCAAACAGACGTTGCAGTAGTTGCTACCGATCCGAACGTCGCGTCGCGTCGTCGTCGTCGTCGTCTTCGTCATCCCGTTTTACTTTCGTTTCTCAGTTTCCTCGATCTGTTCACTTTCTCGCTCTGTGCCGATTCAACGCCTCCGTCTTCATCGCCGCATCTGTGAAAACAACCATCGTTCAAGTTTTTACGTATGTATGTGCGTTACTGACTCATATGCCATCGCCATGCGCGATTACATCATCGAATGCGATCGGGCGATTCGACTCGATAGCAATAACGATCGACGATCAAGGTTGAATCGCAGCTATACCGTTTAAGCGCGTTCATCGTCATTGCGTCTAACTCGCTCTTCCTACTCCTCCTCCTCCTCCTCCTCCTCCTCCTACTTCGCCTGCTTTGCACGTTCTCCTTCTCTTTCCTCCTTCTACATTTTCTTCTTTACGCCGTCTCTCCCTTCCAGCTTTCTACGAGACCGCGTGCCGTACTATAAATAAGTTAATGCCGAACGCACTGCTTCCGTGCGCGCCGCTATGAAAAGAGGAAAAAACGGCGGGCGGAAAGAAAATCGTCGAGCCGAAAATACGCGTACTCTTCGATGAAGAGCCACGGGTATCGAAAACCGAGCGATTTCCATTCGCCTGGCTCGTAGAGCCGTTTACTTTTCGTGCGGTTCCAGGCGAGTGTTCAAAAACAGAATTCGTTCGAGCGCGATATCTATGTTAATCGCGGTAGACGCCCCCGCGGTTTCATTTGCTCCCGGTTTCGGTTACGATTTCCGATTACGTGTCATCGAATCAGTCGCGCAGCTATTGCTTCGTTTAACGCGTCGAGACGCGGAAAAGAATCATCTCTCGTTCTCTCGTTCGCAGATTTCGCCGAAATGGAGGACCATCCGTCGCGCCTTTTCTCCGATACGAGGTAACGCGAGCTTCGGCTCGTACTTCTACTCGCGATATCCTAGTTTCTCGACCAGAAGTTCCAAGCTTCGATGATCGAACGTGTACGCTTGCAAAGGTCGAGAAACTGAACCGCGGAATGTTGGAAATCTGACGAATCGCTCGTTTGGTTTCAGAACGGTCGTGTAGGAATGTCAGAATGAGAGGTAAGCGCGGGTTTTCTTTCGATCTCGTCACGTTCGTACGTGAGTAAGTGGATACATGTATACATATGCGGCATCGAATTGGCAGGAGCAGCGTTTCTGGGAACGATCAGAACGGTTCGCGGAACTTTCCTCAGGACGCTCGTGTTCGTATTTTTGGCAACGTTCCTGTGGCTCCAAATTCACGTGATCAGTCTGACCGGTCGCAACTCCGCTGGTCAAGCCTCGTCGAACGAGACGCTGTTCTCCCTCGTGCCGCAGGAACTGCACAGGTACGTATCACGCGTGACCCTACGCGTACCGTCGGGACACGTCCGGGAGGGTAGGATCGTCCGACGATGCGGAACTTGAGAGAGCGCGATTCGGTTTCCGACAGGTTCTTGAAAGACCGTCGAAATGGTTCTTCGACGTCGGCATTGGGGAACGCGAGCGCGGAAACGCTGACGGATTTCGAGATAGCCGAGATTCGTCGCAACATAGAGAGAGCGAACGCTGAGCAAAGGGTGTACAACGAGGAGTCGTTCGGTCCGTTGGCCACCGACGCTCCCGTGATAGTGATCCAGGTGCACACGCGGCTCACCTATCTTCGCCATTTGATCGTGTCGCTGGCCCAGGCGAAGGGGATCGAACAGACGCTTCTAGTCTTCAGCCATGACGTCTGGCACCCGGACATCAACTATCTCGTGCAGAGCGTCGACTTCTGTCGCGTCATGCAGATCTTCTACCCTCACAGCATACAGTCTCATCCTCGAAGCTTCCCGGGCGAGGACCCGAACGACTGTCCGCGAAACATACGCAAGGAACAGTGAGTAAATCAGAACGTCGTCCCTCGGCTCCGTCTCACGCTCTCCCTGTTTTTCTTTTCTCTCCTCCCGTTCTCGTCGCCGTTGCTCGCTATCGTCCGCAGAGCCCTCGCTCTCGGATGCGTCAACGCGAAACACCCGGACCTTTACGGGCACTACAGGGAGGCCAAGTTCACGCAGACCAAGCACCATTGGTGGTGGAAGGCGAACCGCGTGTTCGATCAACTGGCCATCACGAGGAACCACACCGGCATGGTGTTGTTCCTCGAGGAGGATCACTACGTCGCGGAGGACTTCATCCACGTGCTCAGGCTCATGGAGCGCACCTGCAAGCATAGTTGCGAGAGGTGCAACGTCCTTTCTCTGGGGACCTATCTCAAAACCTACAATTACTTTGCCGATTTTAGTCGAAAGGTGAGAGTCTCCTCCCGACTAATTTAGCTAGTCACCGACGAGCACCGTCGATCGTTGATTCGACGGTATTTAACTGCGATTCGTGTAACATCGTTTTACGCTTCTCTCGACGCGACGAAGTCCCGCGCGTTCCATCGATCTCCGCGCGTTTTCCTCTCTTCCTCTCGTTCGCAACGAATCGTGATCCGTAAATCGAGAGAGGAGAGAGGCAGAGAATCTCGTTCCGCGCAAGTATCGAGTACGTATCACCGCGGGAAGGCGATCGCGCGCGAATCGTTGGACGATAGGTGCGTACCGAAACGAATCGCGAACCCGATTTCAGTATGAATACCTATGTGTCGATGTTTCACGCACGCCCATTAGTTCCTTGGCGTCAACAGCGCCCTGCAAAAGGAGCTTCTGCGCGGATTAAAGCGGCGGGAGTTCTCGACGAGGCAGCGGTCGGCGAGGGCCGAGGACCCGTTCTTCTCCGGACCGTTTAGCGGCAACGGGAACACCACGGCCACCGGCAACACCATCGGCGTTACCAGCACGACCGCCGCCTCTACCACCGGGACTGGACCGAGCAGCGTCAAGCGAAACGGAACCGGCGCCGCGGTTCGCGACCCGCAGGCGATCCGCTCCGCCGGCACCGCGTGGGCTTTCCAGTTCCTGCCCGATCTCTACAATCATTATCAAAAGGTGGCCGACGTCCCACGTGGATACCCCCTCGTTACGCGCGATTTCTCGCGGTCTCTTCTCCTCCATGCATTCTCTCTATCGGATCGGACGCACGCGCGCGTGGCCACGATCGGTACGGATCGGAGCCTCAGGCTTCGTCGGTGCAACGAATACCCGAAAAATTTGCGGAAACACGAATCGAAAAAGGGATGGCGCGCACCTGTGCGTCTGTTCACACTCACGCGCACCGATCGTTCCACGATCTCTGTCCCTCCCTTGATATCGTCGAGACCGAATACGTCCTCATGGGACCCTTTCTCGGCCTCGACGATACGAAAGCACCTCGCCAACTCGATCGTCTCTTCCTTCAACGAGCGTCCCTCGTATTTCGTTCCGCAGGCCGAGGTGATACCGTGGATCTCGAGCAAACACAATATGGGCATGGCGTTCAATCGTGTCACGTGGAACAAACTGCGGAAATGCGCGTCTCAGTTCTGTTCGTACGACGATTACAATTGGGACTGGAGTCTTCAACATATCGCCCAAACGTGTATGCCACCGAGCAAGGGTGCCGGGATAGCCCCTCGTACAGAGTCCGGCCTGATCACGATGATGATGAGGGCACCGAGGGTGTTCCACATCGGTGAATGGTGAGCTAAACGAAATTACTTGTATCTCGTTCGTTCAACTGGAACGCGTGTCCGCCGTTATCGTTACAGCGGAGTCCACCACAAGAAGACCAACTGCGAGTCGACCACTGTGATAGCAAAGGTTCAAAACGTTCTACAGGCCGCCCGAAACCATCTCTTTCCTACGCAACTGACGCTCACCGTGGCCGGCACCGCGAAAAAGACGAAGCTCAGGAAGGGCAACGGTGGATGGGGCGATACGCGAGATCATCGGCTCTGTTGGAACATCACCGTTTATCCGGATCTGCTTTTACCATAACGACCGGGTCGAACATCATCGACCGGAATTCATTTCCCTGTCTCATTTTCCTACGCCTGGTTCACGCTGGTCTCAGTCGAGTAAAGAGTACTCCGTGTACGAGCGAACCGGGGCCGCCGATCCTTCGTCCCACAGGTCCCACTGCCCGATGAACCTCGCCTCGCCTCGGTTTCTCTCGTCCAGCTTCGTCTCTCGTGGAAAATACTCGCGTTCAACAAGTTCCTTCGCATCGGTAAATCGCTCTACCGATCCTCGCCCCAAGTCTTGACAGCGTCTTTGATCGCCGTCACCTTACGCGTCGAATTTTTCGTTCGCGGCAAAGGTAACGCGAACGTGCATGCTTCTTCCGCTCATCGTTGGCGAAGGACCGTCGAGAAACCGCGTAGCCGAGTATAACGACGTCCTTCGTATCATCGTCGCATTTATTCTAGTCGTCGTATCGCATGCAAACGGGGAAACGCGGACCCGCATGGGGAAGAAAAGAGAGGAAAGCAGTTTTCTCGGTATGTACCTGTTCCGCCCGAGACGATTCGGACGAACTTGCGCGAACGAACGATTACGAGAGCGAACCAAAAGCCATCCACGAGTCGCGGAAATCTATATGTACGTATAAGCTACGTTTTATATTTGTAACGAGATCAACGAAAATAAACGAATCGACCGATTTTCTCGTATACACCGCCCAGAGTATTTTGTGCAGGTACACGTGTCAGCGGATGGGAACTGGATTTGAAAATCGCGAGCATTTCGCTTTATTTATTTGAAGCCTGAACGGTCTCTCGGCCCGAGAGTCATATGTGAGTACTGGCACCGTTATAATTCTCGGCCCATCGATAATAATTTATATTTTATGTGTACGATCAATACCACCACCCGACAGTAGACGTAAATCGAATCGAATTAAAATCCTAGAAGTTTTGAGAACGTAGGCACGTTGTCGTCGTACTCCGCCCTCAAGAAATTCCCCGCTATCGGCCCCTCCAGGTTGTACTTCTCCGCGAATTTCTTCACGTTGAATCGCAACCGTAGGAGTCCGTCCCTGGAATTGAAACGCGTTCGAAATTCATTCGCCGGTCGTGTCTTAAACCTTCTGTCACGAGAGTTTATAGTTTCAAAGATCAGTTTTCGGTCGCTGTCCGCATCTCTCTCTTTCTCTCTAATGCTTTCTATATTTTCTCCACTATTCGGATCTACGTATTCGGTTAATTCACTGCTTCTAAACTGCGCGAAACTGATATGGACTCTCGTGATGGCAAGAATACGTAGAAATCGACGCGTCTCGTTACCTGTTGCTCAGTCGTCTCTCGTCGAAAGTAATAGACCCTTGATTCTGCTTGTAAACTAGAAAGACGTAACGATGTTTTCCTGAAAATATCGGCGGCGCCGGGCCGACGTACTCCGCGAGTACCTCTCCCTTCGCGACGTTCTCCTCCGGAATGTTTCCGACGACCCAGTGCTTAAATTCTCGGTTATATCCCTTCCTCTTCGGGATCGGCACGTCGGGATCTGCACACACGATTTTGCAGAACCAAATACTTTATACGACACAAGTTTCATTCTCCAAACTGATCGGACGATTGATAAGTAAACGCCAAAGGCTACGATCGCGTCTTCGTGTCATCGAGCGCAAGGCAAACCGAAACGAGGCGACGCGATGGAAACAGGTTTCCTTGCATCGGCTAGTCTCGGTGAAAGTCTTGGCTCCTCAGCAAAACATTTATGCAACTCTTCGGCTTACCCGTCATTATGAGCGTGTAGAGGACTCCTCCTTCGTGCTTGTAGTGAATCTCCGGAATATTTTGCGTCTCCATCGGCGTGAAGTCATTTCCCAGATCGACCTCTTTGCTTCCGTATTTGACCTGATTCAAACCCGTATCATTCGTATTCGGTTTACGACGGAGAAATGATCTTTGACATACTTTCATGTTTATCAATGATTCGCACACGCCCGCATATGAACACAATCAAACCTCGATAATTTGGGTAAATGACTGAAGGACACAGGGAATCGAAAGAACAACCGAGGAAGAATGAACGAACGTCCAAATCGCAAATTTACTCTGTGCAATCTAAACGTAATTATTGATAGAAAATTGCACCTGAATCTTCTCCGCCGGGGCCACGTCTATCACTTCCGGTACGATTCGCGCATCCTCGAACGCCTTTTGGACGTCGGCAGCAGAAACGTAAATCACGCAGGTAACGAGTCCTGCAATTCATTATTCTCAACTGATACCTGAACGATCGATTCCGGTAAAGAAAGTATGACACGCACCTATTATCGTTAAATAATTCATCTCTGTCTCGGAACGGTACTGTCCAGTCTCGAACAGCTTGTACAATATGCCTAGCGTCCGTGACACCTCGACCACTTTTATTACTCGACCCCTTCCCTCTACTGTTAAACAAGGACTCGTATTACTTCCACATTTCTTTATCTTATCCTCGAAAACCTCCTTTCTCCCTCCATTGCTCCCCGCAAACGTTCAAGCCTGAAGTCTGGCCAACGTGTTTCATTCTGCTTATTTCTATCGAAACGGTTTATATCTTATCGCGGTTTAGTCTGTACCAAATAATTTAATAAGAACGAATGTCGCATACTCTTCTTCGCATAATAGGTGGGATGACTTCTAAAATTCTAGATACATACGCTAAAGATAAAATGTAACGTCGGAATCGGGTGAAAGGAAAGTAAACGATTCTTGTGCTAGCAAAATTTTATTGTTCAATGGAAAACTTGGATTTGTGTTTCACGGGTCTATGCATACGACGGCGGTTGTTAGGCGCCCAACTGTTTATACAGAAGCGGAACGTAGTCGTCGAATTCCGCTTGGTACATGTTCCCTGCGATCGGATCACCGAGATTGTATTTCTTGGCGAATTTGCTGATCGAGAATTTTCCTCGATTGTCACCGCTTCGGTTCGTCAAACGCTTTTCATCGAATTTCAATTTCTCTGGCTGTTTATAAACCAAGAAGACGTAACGATGAAGCCCGGTACCTTTCGGCGGACCCGAGCCTACGTACTCGGACAGTACTTCTCCTTTGGAGACGTCCGATCCCGGAATGTTTCCCACCAGCCAGTGATGCCATTCGCGGAATTTCGGCTCCTTGCGACTCGGCGCGTCGGGATCTACGAGCAGTTATTTACAAAAGATTACTTCCTTCTGAATACGGGCTACCCTCGAACTTGCCTACGTACCGGTCATACAGAGAGTGTAAAAGGTATTCGCATCCGCGTCCCATTTAACAGTCGGTGGATCCTTCACTTGAGTCGGGGTCAATACCTTGCCGATTTCAACATTCAGTTGATTCGGATAAGTAACATTGACAACGCTCGGTGGAACCTTGTCTATAACGTCCGGCACAACGCCGTGTGTTTGCAATGCCTGAGCCATTGAGGAAAGAAGGCGAGATCCGATTTCAATTATAGGCTTCTTGGTGAGCAGAGCAGCTGAAAGAAAATCAAACGACAACGGATAATAGAGAACGAAGACTGACTGAGTAAGGCTGACTCGTTCCCCCTGATTGCGATTACGGAAGGTTATATTCGATGCAATCGCTAATCAACATTCTCGCGAGGTCACGTACGCAACCAATAATTATTGTTAAATGTTAGACAGATAACTTGAACGTTGCTCCGCGATTAGGATTGAAACAGTAGATGGAACAAAACAATAGAAGTGAGATGGAATCGAACGAAAAAGAAAAGAAGTCAAATAACTCGATGTTAATCATGGTGAATTATATGTCGCGTACGGAGTTCAGTAACTAAGAAAACTGACGCAATATTTCTCTGCGAATTTAATGGCTATTACTTGCGTTCGTTAAAAGCAGTGACATGACCATACGACGCGATACGAGTCTTGTTACGAATACAACTGACTTTTCGAGGTCGAAGTTCGATTAGTTCGAAGCCGGTGTCCGGTGCGTACACTGTACCTTATTCGTTCGTTCTTCACAGACCTTCGTAATGTTCGTAACACTTCGTAACAAAAAATGCTTCATACAGTGCAGTAAGACCTACAGTATGTGTGTATGGATGCGAAGAATTTCAACCTCAGCGCCGTCCATTGAGGAATAGTAAAACCACCGAGGAGATACTAACAATAAGATCATAACGGTACCTATTCTACCAAAGATCGAGAGATTTTTAAATGGATTTTCCTTGAAGATCTCTCAAGTTTCGTACAATTCCGAACAGTAGAAACTTGAGGCATTTAAATAGGGAGGTAGGAAATAAAGGAGAGACAGAGGCAGAAAATGGCATCCAACTATACTAAAGCTATAACTAAACAAATTAAGGAAAAATACGGAAACAGAAGATTGCTTTAATCATTCTAATAATATATACTACAGATAGACTAAGAACGCGTTTAACATATGATTAATTCTAAAACATATATATCTTTCTCCGTTCATCTACTTACATTCGCGAACGCAGGCATGCATCGATCACGCATACTAATTTGCACATATTGAATCATTTCAATCTACATCTTATACTAAAATTTCTCCGGAATCTTTCTTCCTAATACATAAATCTACTTCCTCTCTGTTCAAACATACGCTAAACTTTGGCGATGCGGGGTACCACGAAACAGTGACAACCGCTTATAGTATGAGCATTGAACAGCCCAATGTTTAATGGAAGCTTTTGAAAGTGGTGACCATCGGCGCATCCAACACTAGGTCGATAACGTAAGCGTATGAATAGGAAGCCTGCCGGAGAGAACATTATCATTATCATTATCTCTTCTTACGTTATCGAATTAGCGATTTTATTTACAAGTTTGGTTGGCCGTTTCTATCGATTGCCGTTTGCACACAATATACTAATTGATCGAACTTACAATAATTTTTCTCGTGTTCGAAATCGCGTAAACTGCTACAACTAGATTTTCATCTAACTACTTTAACTAAACCTCCGAGTGTACTCGGACCGAATAAAGTACTCGTATAACTACTCGTATAAATGATATACGTGTCAAGGTACGGAAACGATTGCGCGTCTATTACCGGCGTAACCGTGAACGAAAACAGAAACCCGATTTCTATACCGTTCTACTTCCGATTTGCACTTTTACGCAATCTTTTCCGATAACGATTCAACGAACAAAACGACGTCTTCGTTGTATAATGTATAGAAACATAGAATCGAATAAATTGTTTACGAGACGCGAAAGAAAAGAAGGGAAAGGATAGTGAATGGATACGACGAGAACAATTAAAAACCTAAACGTTTTAGATTAGCTCCGACGATGTTAGAGTTGATCCTCGATTTGTCACCTTGCCAACTTTTACTCTTGTTACGAAATTGTCTGAGGTCGGCTTCATGGTCGGGATGTTTCATGGGGCGGTAGCCCTGCGGCGAGCACAACTCTTTCTGCTGCTTATAAAATTGTTCGTATCCACCATGCAGCAAGTAAACTTCCGGGTAGTACAGAGCCGGATAATGTTCTTTGTTACGCTGCCGATCCAAGCTGCGTAGAAAACGCGACATGTTCGGGCCTCGTTCCCAAGAGAACTCACAATGAAAAATTAAAATGTTTCTTTTATTCGAGTCCGGTTGTATCTCGGGCGTGCTCGTCAACGGGTTCAGCAGAATCTGCTCTATCAGGTCTTTACTGTAAAGGTTGACAGCACCCTGGATGTGGCCAGCGTCGAACTCATACGGGTATCGACAGTCGACGATTTTAAAGGAACTGATTTGGTCGTTGAATTGTCCGCGTATCAAGGCAGCCATCGTCTCGGTGGAAATCGATCGCAGGTCATCATGATGGCCTTCGGCCAGTGGCAGGACGCAAGGTTTACTAAAATCTCCGGTGAGATCAGTACTGGTGGTGCTGCGATGAATGGCAGACTTGATGAGAGCGTGCGTTTCTAGTTCTGACTGCACCTCGGAGTCTGTTTCCGATTCTGTTTCTACCTCCATTTTCATCGCGCTCGGTGCTGCCGACTCGGAAAAGCTTCTTTGAAGCACACACTTCGGAGCGGACGAAGTTGTCATCATGGTCTCGCATCCATTATCGCCGATGCTGTCGAGAAAGTTCGTCGATCTTCGCGATCTTTTGGCCACGTGCGTGCTTTCGGTGAGCGGCGAGTCCGGCCGTTTAAACGCGCAGCGTAGAGGCAACGTGATGTTGCGAGGGATGGTGGCGACGGAGTTGGAC